ACGAGACAACTTAGTATCATCTTCGACGGTTCACTTCCTAACTGAGGGGAAGTTAGTTGAGATAGAATAACGATGCCATGTAACGGAGCGTCTGAAACCATGGATCACCAGACAGTTTTACCGCGTTTTTCACAATTTCACATTAAGTTTATATTACTCAAGCCTCCAACTGAAAACCGCGCCTGGAACCATCACAAGTGAGAGATTCAGCTGCGTTCCAAGTAAGTCTTTCACAAAACCAAATAGGTTTGCAAACGAGTCATCATCATCATCATCATCGACAGCATGACATCAGTGTTCAACACCGATGCTTCACTGCCGTATTGCAAACGAGTGTATTTCGCTAATTGCGTGCAATTTGGTTTCAAGTAGAACATAAGTTTGACGGAAACTCGGGGACTGTGCCTACCTGATGAGTCCCAAGAAGGACGAAACCCTCGTGGGTTGTCGAAGAATTTTCAAGTGACCTTATGAGTAGTGCACTATGAAAACCGTGCTCTTCCATGGTAGTCTGTATATTGTTAGTCTCATCTTTGAAAATGTCTGCGCGTGGCTACTAATCAACATTTTGAGTGCAATAAAAAGGAAATAGACGGACAGCAAATGATGGATAAACGACTTGGTTTCAAATCGATGCCCATGGCGTTCTTGCGGTCAATTTTTTTATCACACTAGTATGTAGGTCCGAGATAATTTCCCTCAATTGACCTTAGATTACTGCCTTCACCCGCACAACCATGAACAGCGTTCAATAAGTTCACCACTACAGATGAGGATACGTTAGAAAGGAAAATGGAGGCCGCGAGACAGTAAATAGATGCATTTGCACAGGTGAGGGGGAAAACAGACTGACACGATCCATCCGCACTCACACTTTGCGAATAACTGTGGAATTCAAATGAGTCATTTAGTGTTCACCATTCGACTGTCAAAAGGAGTGCGCAAAGTACTTACAAGGTTGCTGAAAACTCTTCGACAGCCTACGACCGGTTTCCCCTTCTTGGGGCTCATCAGGTAGGCGAAGTTCCCGAGTTTCCGTCAACCTTAGTTCAGTCGAGTCTCTCGTGAAAACCTAACTGATTTGCAAATGAGTGTATTTCTCGAAAACAGTCGAATTTGGATTCAAGTAGAACATAAAGTTGACGGAAACTCGGGGACTGTGCCTACTTGATGAGCCCCAAGAAGGGCGAAACCGATCGTGGGCTGTCGAAGAGTTTTCAGCAATCTTGTGAGTAGTTTCCTTCATGAAAATATACTGCGATATCTCGAATATCGTGCCAACTGAATCATGAGGCGCCCCGTGTGCAGCACATTCAGCTTTAGAATATCATAAACAAGAGATTCAGTTGGGTCTCTCAAGAAAACCAAATTGATTTGCAAATGAGTGTATTTCTCGAGTGTGCTAAGTGTTTCAAGTCCTTTGTATGAGGCTGACTGCATTTCACGGGCAGCTAGCTCACCATTTATCATTTGATCTTCAGCTTTTCACATTTGTGGCTATTGTCCGAAAGTTATCACCGACATATCACCACTGCAGATGAGACAGCGAAACCAAAAAACCATACGCAACCACACAGTTGCATGGAAGCGCAGGTGGTACCGTAAATATGCGAGAGATGGGGACTGCGTCCCGTTTGGATGTTTCTGGTTACACTTCCCACGCTGCTGTGAACTTGCGCGATTCAGTTTATCTCAGCGTTACGGTTACATAGTGATTGTTTTCACGAATGAGTGTGTTTGAGGATTAATATGATGCACACGAGTGAGTTCATCGAAATCCTATGCCCCATAAGACTATGTTCGAGCAGCATTTAGCAAAGTTGTGCACGCAAGACTGCATCATCTTGATATGGAATAGGTTCACTGGCTCAGTGTGGCATTAACGTCGGCACCGATGCATGAAAAACTTTCTGCCTTGAACAGAAACAGAAACGCAAGGCACGTGAGGATATAATGATTTCCAAAATTTCAACCACAACTCGAGTGGAGGGACGAAAAAATGTGCCAATCAAATAATTTTCTCGTGATCATGGTTAGTTGTTGATTTGCACGCATGCAGGAGAGAAATGTCAAGTGACTCGAACGGAGACATGGTCAGAGCTTCGAATGAGTACGTTCTCCTCAGAGCCACCATGTTCCCGCAGAAGAAACTCTCCACGATGAGGTGAATTCCCCAAAATTGATCCATTTTTCAGAAACATTAGATTGCTCGGAGGTCCAAGAAAACTCACGCAACCGTAGTTTCCTCCCGGCGAAGACAGGGGTCACAAGAGGGAGTGGATTTTGGCCTATCCTTAGAGGATGAACAGTTTTCATGAATAATTTACAGGACCCAAAATCAAGGTAACAGGTTGTTGATGATTTCGAACGAAATATTCAGTTAGTTGAACTCAGTTTGGTCTATAAATGTAAGTTCCTGAAACGGCCTCAATCAAACTACATGAGGTACTCAGTGATACAAATGGTGCCTGTTAGCGTTGTTTGTGACTTTCTCAAGCACAGCCTGGTACAAGCAGTGTCATAATCTTACATCGACATCAGCCAACGGCAAGAAAATTTTGCAAAATCATTACCCTAAAAATAGTTGGCACTCAATAGTATATACTCGTCTTGAATTTAAAGAGATACATGATCACACCGTTGATTTTTCGCGATGGCAGCTCCGTCGGGAACTGCACGTAAACGGGCATTTAGCTACCCTGAAACCATGGAAGAAGGCTCTAGTAAAGCGTGGGAAGAATCGGGAGGTATAGGCACTTAAGGAAAGAATCTCTTCCATTCCTAGGAAAGAGAATCCAGAGCACGGACTTCACAACGTCCGCAACAACTGAAATAAACACATCTCAACAGCAAGTCAGAGAACAATACAGCTTGAAGGAATTTGAGACATTTCGCCTTGCTCAAGTATGTGTTGAAGAGTCAGTCTGTCCACGGATCTGATGACGGCAACAACAAAACCGTTACTATTGGTTGGTGATATGCACGCAGTAAGAACGTGCTATGGTTCAAGCAGTCCCTTCGTGGGACTTTTTGATTAGAGTTACAATGACCGATTGACCTTAGTCTGCTGAAACACATCATTGTTTTCGTAACAGATTAACCAAGGTAGAACACGAAGACCTACAACCAACTTTGAATGATTTACTGTGTGGTATGGAACCGTTTCCCAACATTCTAGGGTACAGTAGTTTGCCCCATTTCCGGAGTCTTAGAGTAGTTCTCTCCATTTGCAAGTAAGCTGGGACTGAGCTGAAGTCTAAGATACCTTCTACCTGAACTACGTTCTGCGTCAGAAGAATTAAGAAATCTAGCATCGAGGAGAATCGACTGACTGTTCTGAAGTCGAATGCTTAGTCGGTGAGCGCTCGGAGGAGATACATGAGGAATATCTTGGTGTATGAATCGCAGTGCTTACCTCGTTCAACTACGACTAACGTTTTCGAGGATGCGGATTCTAGAACTTCACATAGACTGATTTGGAAAAAGCTTGTTTGACGCCCCGCTTAGAGTTGGCTGAAGCGAGCACGCAAAGAACTGGTGTGCAAGCAGGTATTTGGTGACAAATCAAAAACGTTAGGGCAGCAGATTTAACTTACCAGGTGGAGATGGTTGAGACATGCATTACGTATGTCAAGCCACCGTCTATTTAAGAAAGCCCTGTTTCATCCCAAGCCAGTATACTGACGAAAGGTTCGCAGAGAAGAGGCCATGACATCATAACGTAAGTAAAAGTAGCTACAGTCACACTGAGTGTGGTGGAGAGGTTGGGGGACGCGCGAACATCCTCGCACCTGGTTGGAAACCCTGCAAGACAAGGCAAACGGTCCCAGTGGCGAGCATGCTGTCATTTCCTTGTCGGACTGCCTACACAGAAAGATTGTATTCCTAGAGTTCATCTGTCGTTGGGCGTTGGGCATACGTCGGATGAGTTTCGCAAAGTATGCTGAATCAGGCCCGCTGATAGTACCTCAGTTCCATAGGATGTTCAGATGCGTCCATAGTAATGCTGTCCGGAGGTATGGAAGCCTTGCTTATTGACATGGAAATTCATCGCACCAAGTCTTCAGTTTCACTCTTCACTTTTCCTCAAGGATGTACTGCAGTTGAACGCCAGTATGTATTACCGGGGTGTTGCCGTCAATAGCGATTACTAGTACTACCATTTGAATTATGGGGATGAACAGTTAGCATACAGAGGGCGCAGCTCAAACTGGATTTGGTGCATAGGTAAGCTAAGCGCGGGAGAGGATAATGAGTACAAATTTGGGTTCGCTCACCTAATTTAACCAAGATCTGAGTGATTCGAAGCCCACCGATGTGTTTGTTGTTTTGAGTCATAAACTCGAATCGCTCTGACCCTTGAAGTAGTTGTTTTTTTCCCGTACTTTCCTACAAATCATGGAAGTTGCGGTCTTTCTTCAGTGGAAACTGTTATTCGGCAAATAAAACCGTGGAATCCTCAGCGATAGAAAGTCTGATCTGGTGCACAGTATTTGATTCTGAGGAGTAGCTAGCATCCAGGGATTTCTCTTGAAATGATTGAAATGATCGAGTGTTGAGTGAAAAATGTAGAATCGTACGGAAGCAACGCATGTATAAGAATGGCGATACAGGATTGGTCAGTGTAGAAACCTATTGGCAAGGACAAACACTCAAGGAGTATTCTCAAAGAAGGAAAAACCCAGTTCAACAGACAGTACATAACGTGTGGACACATCACAGGTGGACCAGAAAAAGCTGGCAATTTGCAATCTTCCAAGCGGTGGACAGGCTATGTCCATCATCAGGGACTGTTCAACTTATGGTATTCACACAAATCCCGTAGGCTGGAATGGTCAGCCAGGTCGAGGCAAACAAAAAGGAGCTACTTATCGAATAGTACCTGCCAACCGCATCCCGATGTCGTATTATTGCGACAAACTAACGGCATTATGTTGCAGTGCAATCATAAAGAAACGCAATTGAACGACAAAAACACCGAGGTTACAAATAAAACTCACACTTCGGGATCTTTGGAGGTCACGGACAAAGTGTAGGTATTCTTTTTACTAACGGAATCCCGGACTAGAAAACAACCCTCACGTCCCTCATCCAAAAGGATAGCCTCGGCTTGTTGACGGGTGATATCTTTGTAGTACCAGCTGAAACAGAAGAAAAGTACGTGTTACCAGACGGTAAATACGGAGCGCTAGTGGCAAGAAGCTGTTGACCGCAACCCAGTTAACTGAATGCGGATCAACATCACGGACAGTAAATAATTATGACATTGGGATACTAAATTATCCAGGATAATCTAGGGTCCCTGGGGCACGGAGTTATTCGAACTTAGCTGGTGAGATAAGTCAACGGATGGAAATGAGCTAACGGCCATGTACGATGGGTGAATTTCTCTATGCGATAAGAATTGGGATAGTAATCGGAACCTCCTCAATGCGAATTCTACTTGAATTTAGTAGCTCCTAATCAAACTTAGAGCACTCAAATTTTTCCTCAGTCTCACTTTATACGGTGGTTCACGGATTTTGTGATTAAATCTGACTTTGAATGAACACAACTCACAATATCTGATGGTGACAATCTGCCTGGAAAACTGAGATCTTAACGGTTAGAAGCAATACTTGGTATTTCAAAGAAAAATTTGGGAAGCAATAACACAGAAGAAAGGTGAAAGCTTAAACTCAAGGGGCATAGTAGAGTAACGTGAATCCCTTCAAGTCCCACCCACCCGGCAGGTAGTAGCCTCAAACCAAGGACCATCAAAGCCTGTTGCGCTTCCATTCAATTCGGGCACATACAGGGACGACGTGTCATTTCTGGTTGGATAAAGGCAAGGTCTACAACGTGTTAGCGCGTCAACTGTCACCTTACAGTTGGAAGGCCTGATCACTGTGCGTTGAGGGTAAAAAAACTACTTCTCTCTGACCACTGGAGCCATCGAAACATTGCAAACTTATTGTGGAAACATCAGATTGGGAATGTTCAAGTATACAAAGCATGGTTTGGAGACGGAAAATAAAAGGCACAACAAAGGGTCTTAACTGCACTGGCAGGCATCGTCTCCGAAGTGGTTGGAGGAGTAGCGAGGCTGTTGTAGTCACTCTGGTGTTCTTAATCAATAAACCGCTATCCCTTTGTTTTTATTAGTCTGTTATACTAATCCTATTCAAAACTACCCGTTGCCATAACCTATGGCTACCCAAACCACCAAGCTATTCGTGACCGTCAACCTGAACCGATCTTTCATGTACAAGTGCACGAAATCCATTCCAAGGCTTTTCTTAGCTTGGTGATTATATCAAGCCCACAAAAGTGCTACGGTGCTAGATCTCAGTTACAGGACCAAAGTTGTAAGCACAGTTGATCCCAGTTCACCACACTTATGTTATCCAAGCACGAGGTAGGTTAACGTTATATCCAAGTACTCATTGTAAGACTCAACTATGCGGCTGTCCCTGTTTGGGCCCGCAAATGACAAGCGAAACTTTCCATGTACAAGTCACGAAATCCATTCCAAGGCTTTTCTTAGCTTGGTGATTATATCAAGCCCACAAAAGTGCTACGGTGCTAGATCTCAGTTACAGGACCAAAGTTGTAAGCACAGTTGATTCCAGTTCACCACACTTACGTTATCCAAGCACGAGGTAGGTTAATGTTATATCCAAGTACTCATTGTACGACTCAACTATGCGGCTGTCCCTGTTTGGGCCCGCTTACAGCAACGCTAAGAATCACTACCGGCAACCGGCGTCGGATGAACTGTTCTGGTATTAGGGCGTGGGATCCAAGGTATTCTCTGTGACTATTCTGCGCAGTATGACCAATTATTGGGAGGCAAGCTCATTAGAACAAGGCTGGCCTTAGTCATGGCTGATATAATATACAGAGCCGGATTACACCATTTCTGATAATAGGTATGACACCAAATATGATAGGTGTTTACCCCACAGGAGAACGAACGTTAGGGTGACTTGACTTAGGAGCCACCAGCCGAACGAAAAAACAGCTGATAAGATCAATTTCAGCTTCATGAGAAGTCGAACAATCTGAACAATCTGCTTTACACACTCACCTGATTTCGGGTCAGCTGTGAGCATGTGTATTATAGTTTTCACCTAGCCGGCTCTCGAAAGCCAGGACAGCTTTAACAAATCCCCAACACCTTTGGCGACGAAGTGACGTCTATCAAGCGCAGAGTTTACACCGCGACAGTGCGATCCATACTGCTTTATGGAGCAGAGACCTGGCCTCTACGCACAGAAGAACTGGACAGTGTACGACGTAGAAACGAAGTATGAAAACACTAAGCAATAAACTAAGTCAGACCGACGACTGCCGTTTCCCTGAATTGGGAATTCCGAGACTCAAATCACTACGGGCTGATGATACTGACAAAAATGGCCCGATTGCAAGGTCAGTGGTGATCGTGCATCAGTCATCTGCTTCAATGCGTAGCAGTCCAGTTCCCGAAATAACTAAGAATGCCATCGCTTCCAGTGATCGGCTATATCTCCCACGCTCTCTCATTTCCTGAAGATCAAAACTGTACCAGCTGGAACCACATGGTTTACAGCTGATGAACTCAACCGAACTGAAAGAGCGCATACCCCTGAACTGTCCTCAACAGCCATCCTAAGAACAGTAGGGCGGCTCCATCAAAATGACGCATTAAGATGAAATGCTGATATAATATACAGAGCCGGATTACANCTTAGTCATGGCTGATATAATATACAGAGCCGGATTACACCATTTCTGATAATAGGTATGACACCAAATATGATAGGTGTTTACCCCACAGGAGAACGAACGTTAGGGTGACTTGACTTAGGAGCCACCAGCCGAACGAAAAAACAGCTGATAAGATCAATTTCAGCTTCATGAGAAGTCGAACAATCTGAACAATCTGCTTTACACACTCACCTGATTTCGGGTCAGCTGTGAGCATGTGTATTATAGTTTTCACCTAGCCGGCTATTCGTTCACACAGTCTACCTCCCTTATCACCTTGCTGTGATGATATTGGCAAACCTATTATGCTTGCAATGGTAACGCAACTTTTTCAGGCATTCAGATCGACGGATTTCTCGGGTAACAGATTGTTGGAATCGAAATAACATGCGGCGTCACGTTTATGCACAAACGCAGCCCTGGGATGAATTTCCTAATGAACACAGATAGGATTACCACTACATGTAAATAAAAAACAAGCTACTATCGCAACACGTTACCGTTTCAATGGTGTGACATTCCATTGACAAACCCCAAACAGAGTTAAATGTTTTTCACAGGGCAACTGCAATTGGTAACATCAAACACTCGTTGAATGATGAAAACAAAAGACTAGAGAACAGGGGGAGGAGCACCAAATGATTCAAACATCAGAACAATCAGGCGAAAAACAGGGCCAAAATAACCATTTTTCTCTCTGAATCTCACTTTCAGAGATCGGATCTTGATTTACAGGTGGTTCATGCTCCTTGAATTGTACTTGAAAGAAGAAAAGGATGAAAGCGCTTCCTGATTACTCGTCAATATTCTAGAGCTTAGTGAACGGTTACTGTCAGATCATGGGTGGTCTACAGCGGCGATCCGCAACCTGAAATACACATTATCTATAAATCTAGCTTCAGAAAATAGTAGCTGAGGAGTTTGTTAACCTCGTTATTGTCCTACGACACCGTAGCCCTACCGCCCCTAACAGCTGGTGGTTAGTAGCTTCTAGTGACCTTCTCTTTAACTGGACTATAGTTTACTTTTGAGACAAAAATATGTCATTTTCATAAAAGGTCACCCAAGAGTATAAACCAATGGTTAAAGTGAAGTGTCACTAAGCGGCTGAAACGAGTTGAATTGTTGTAGGTAGTGACCAGAACTACATCAGCCACTGTATGGTCCACTCTACAATTTACCTAAATAAAATTGTAAAAAATCGTTCAGCTGTAAAATCCTTCCGGTGCCTAGCTGTTGTGCTACCCGAAGGAAACACAAGGGCTGGGACACTGCCAGGTTGCCCAAGCCTAGACAGGTAAAGTCGACAAGCGGAGATCAGGTTCCAAGAACGAACCTTCCGATCAGTAAACTCGCGCTCTAACCACTTGATGTATCTCGCACCCTTGCAATTTACCCGTCATGATTCATCATAGTAAACAAAAATAGTTGGACCGCTCCATTTAGCGGTAACTCCAGTTGCAAAGCTCATCTGCCGGTATCAAGAAGACGTACAATGATAACTCAAAGTTCGGATATCCTGGCGGGATACGGCTAGGCAGAAACTGATCGCCATGACAAAATCGCATCTTATGAGTTTAAAAAAAGGTGGCCGTTGTTAGGGAGTAGTACTCACAAGTGTTTCGACATTTTTCAGGGTTCTGTATGTGGCGCATCACTACAACAGCAAAGTTTTCGGGACTCGAAAGAGATAGCCACTTTAAGAAGGACATAGTTATTCTTGGAGGAAAATGGAGGGAACCACCACACTCTGCCACCTCTCGCAGTCATTTTTTCGTAGCGCATCGTGCGATTTTGGTAATGACGTCAGAGGAAGTCAAGTGTAAGTTTCACAAGCGCTCCTATGTTAATTACAGAGGGTAAGTTTCCGATTCGGATTTTTGCGATCAACTTGCTGAAAGGGATTATCACACATCGCGTTTGAAAATCCCTCCAATGAGGGATCTTTAGCGCACTTCATTAACGGTCCATGTTTCACAGCAATTTTGTGTAGGTCTGGCTATACAACGCGCAATATGCAAATGAACCACATGATTTGAGGATCCCCACGCAAACTTTCATAGTTGACCAGGACCAGTAGTGGTGCAGAACTACAAATACACCAAAGGCTCAATATGATCGTGACAGCTCCTGAAATTCGGAAAAACTCATTGGGGAAAAACAGTATCCAGTCTCAGGGATGAAACTACAAACCAGGGCAACAGAAAAGCAAACGGGGTGAGCGTTTCAGATCATTTGGACAAGTCTATGGAGAAGTGAACACCAGCTATTTTTAACTTCGCATGACGACAAAACGTTACAATAGGCTTGGTGTAGTCCATCCGGCCGTTCTATTTCGCTAGCTTGAAACAATGTGGACGTTGAACTATGAGCCATTGGCCGAACGGTTCATAGTTCTGAAGGAGATTACGATGGTGCTGTGTAGGCCAGTCTACTCTGACAGTACTTCAAGCGTCGCGAAAGGAGGGATACCGCAGCTCAACAGGATCAAGAATCATTATATTGCATTTGCCAAACCCATTTACTTTGATGTATATGAATGGTTATTTGAATCCCAGATGTTACGGCCCAAAGCAGCAAAAATGAAACTGGTTCGAAAAGTTGATAAGCTATGTGGTGCATTCAGAGCTGGTATTCCACAGAACAAATCACATCCGTAAAAAGGCCACCAATCCAATGCAATCTTGAATTCGTTCAGAAGTTCGTTTCACTTACTCAAGGAAAAGAAGTGAGTGATTCTAAACGTTTAGGCAACCAACTCATCCAAACCCGTATATTGTTAAATTGACGATGCTGCGGAATTTAGACACACTGGATAAAATCAACAGTTGTTGGCCTATCCTGTGAGTTTGATAATGGAGAGCAAACCATCAGCCAACCTTGTCCAGTTTTACAACGACTGTCCACGGGGATAATAAAGAGAACTGAGTATAAACTAAACCCAAGAAGAGAAGACACCAACATGTAGTGTCTTGTCCACTCCTCAGAAGGGCGGGTAAATTGCACTGTGATTGTTGTCGCTGTGGAAAAACGAGTTAATCGTCTTCAAGTGGTCATTCTCAAGGGTGTGAAGTGGGTGTGCAACGTTACCGTTTAACTGGACAAATCCACTTACGCATGGAACAAACACCACGAGTTATGTGGGACAACAGATTTCCTGGCTTGATTGGCTATCGAGAGCTCGAATGCTGAGCATGCACACCTAGTGACGACAGGTGTGCAGATGAAATTTGAGCGCACGGATAGATACAAACCGAAAAAACGTCATTATTTCACCATAAAAACGCCTTAGAAACATTTGTACACTATGCTCTAATTAGCAAATTACCGCTTCCCACGTTGTGTTTAGTGAGCTAAAGCGTGTAAGTACCCTGTTGTGATCGATTTGCGGAATATTTGCTTAGCTTATCAACAAAGTGAATATCTTTACAGCTAACGAGCTCACATAAGCTGACCGAAATGACCATAGGCCAAAAGGTCTGCGCATCGACTAATTTGTGGAAATGAACCGTCATTGTGAAACCAAGATAGCCGGTTGAAACGAATTACTGTTGAGATTTATTGTAGTAGGTGTCTCACACCGGGGCCACCAGTCTAAAGTCAAAGGCGTCAGTCTATCAAAGGGATTCTAAGAGGTCGCGCCCGCAAGGAGAACCATCTCTAAGGTGTTCATATTCTGAAACAAGTATGTCCAACAAATCCGCAAATTTCAGATTTTCGGGTCAAAATACTTTCTAAGCGGGCTGTTGCGTTAGGACTAGTCGAAACATCACAAATTAGCGCGGCGACAAACAAATAGAATCCCACACGCACACCTGAATTAGTGGCCGGCTTTTTATCTGGGTACAAACGACATACAAGTACACAAACACCAATAACAATAATTCTTCTCGCAGTCCTGACACCCAAATCGCAGCAAGTCGATCAGACAAGTCATGCACACGCATACACACACAAATGTATATAAAATCCCTGCAAACAATGAAAAGAACAAAGAACCACGTGAACGCGTAGGGACGTGTATCGAACGAAAGAGGGTTATGCTAGTATGACCCAAGTCGTCACGTTGGACGACTAATTGGATGATGACGCGTCTGGAGACGTAAACAAAGAGAGGCATCGGCGACAGTTTAATGTCTATCACCACCGGTAACGGAAACGCTTTGACTAAGCCTTAATGCAAAGGTGAAAAGGCAAAACGTCACACCACAAACAGGGTAGGTTGCCTAAACCTGCGAGCCCCTCTTTGGTTGACATAGATAAACGCGATTCGAACAAGAACAAGAGTTGCATTTTCTCTGACGGAAGTGAATGCGGGGAATTCGGCACATCCGCTACACACTGTTACAAATCAACTTAAAATAGTCTTTACGTGCGAACGGGTCTGTGGATGCCAGGAAGAGACCATAAAATTTCGTGGAAAATGAGCTGCTTCCACCGCTTCTTTGTTCTTGGCAAGATTCAGTTTAAACATCGGGCTCAGAGGAAAATGAGGCAAGGCTTGGATTGTGCGACATTCATCATCATCATAGACTTATTGCGAAACAAAGAATGAAGGTGGATGGGTAAGGACCCACAACTAGTCTACCACACTCATTCCAAGGGGCCTACTCCTTCAGAAACTCATCCAAGCACCCTAGAAAATGATAAATGTCCACCCCTATCCTATGAACAGCCACCCAGGATATGTGTACTTCCGGTTGTCTCGGATAGCGAGTTCCAACCGACGAGATCTAGAAGTAAAGGAATGACATCTTTGTCAGTAGATCCTTCTCGACCTAGGAAGTCGGAAATAGAAGTTTTGGAAATATCCTCTGGAACAAAAGTAAGACAACGGACTGACAACTTACCTAAAGTGTCGATTAGTGTCAACCATGGGGTTGGCCATGGAAAATGCATCCGGTGCCTAATTCATTTTTTCTTAGCCGAATCATAAGGTAGAAATAGTAGGATAAAATGAACCGACGTTACCACAGTTAATACTACAACATCGGGGGGAAAACACACCACCGATGCCTTACACGGTCCCTCCATGAATTGAACCATACTTTCAGATTGAGAAGACTAAAGACGGCAAAATTTAAGTCCATAAAAACGTGTTGTTAAGTTGAGAGCAGATTTCAGAAAACCAGCAAGAGACTTCTGGTTTACCCTCGGAATTTTTATCGTCACAAGGCTCAAAATTATACAGCATGTAATTCGCCTCTCGAATGTGCGAAAAAACGGCTCAGAAATGTCATTCCAGTACGGGGAAATCAGGGAAAAGGCAGCGGAGCTTTTTCGACCACTCCTCCGAACTTCGCAGGAGGCCAGTTGCTGATCTGTGACTGACCAGAGCACCGCAAACTATGCTGGCTGTGGGTACAGAATCCTGAAAACAGATGTGAAATGAAACACTACAACTTCCGCTGCTGAACGTCTACCAATATGGCAGTCGGGATATGCTTGGCGTAAGCAACAAGGATCTTTTGAACAGCCAGATGAACACAAGGTCTTTGACTGCATACATTGGATATTTCGCTGCTTTGATTTTCGCAGTCGGTGATGATACGGTAAGACGTGAAGGCTTCGTAAAAAACTTGCGGTTGTATTTGTGAACATATTTCCAGTCTTGTTCACTGATGTAGACACTGAATGCTAGTATTACGATTTTCCAACATCGAAGACTGCTGACATCAGGCGATGCTAATGTCGGTGGATAGGTGTATCACATCGAATTACTGCGACCAGGCCAGGTTGTACAATGGGTAAACGGTTATCTTATTAACGTTACTAACTGAAGACGCCAACACAATGTTCCGCTGCCGGTTCATCAGAACTACGGTTTGTGGTATGTCAGATGCCCCTCTCCCGGCCTGAAGCTGTCACCTTGGTGTGATCGTCGGGCTTCTGTGTTGTTATACTGGCTGGAGTTAAGTTCCTAAAGATTCAAACAAACCAAAAAGCCCAACGGTAAGCAGCCCAACGGAGAATAGCAAGTAATTGTGCTACTAGGCGCTTTGAAGGTAAAGTCGTACTGTTCTGTGCAATAGGAGTAGGGCGTTTCTCCAGGTGACCAGCATGTCCATATTTATGGAAGCGGTAATGCTGCCTTCTTCCAAGGAAGGACGGGTTACAAAAAACAAACTCCGATCGCCCAACGGACTGTGACAACCAGCGCATTATTCAACTCGACATACTTATAAAACCGGTGTCTGGTACTGTTCAAAAGGTACCTGTTGTGTGAAGCGGCATTAGGAGTGAGATAGTACTGTCATATTCCCTGCGCCCCGATGCCATGCCCACCCCCTGCAGCTAAGTGGGTCAAACTCATGAGTCAGTGGCTCCTGGAAGAGTCTCCCTAGAAAAACCTGACAGCATCTGCCTCGCGCCTCAGAATTTTGAGTCCAAGGATTGGGGCAGGGTCACCGATGCTCAGTTGAAGGATGCCAGCATGTAACGTTCGTAATCGGAAACAAGCTGGGCAACAGACTGCTCGTACATGGACGATGTACTCGCTTTCCAGTGGTGTACTATCTATCTGAAACGAGGATTCAACACCCAAGTGCAGTTGTTGAACCGACCCTCCCTCCTCAGTAATTTGCGCCCACTTTTGGTTAAGCAACTCTGGTGATCCAGAAGCTTCCCCTGCTCGTTGTGGTGAAGTTGGTGTGGTTGGGTTGGTATTGGGTCGGCATCTGCCGCCTCCCTGGATGGGGACCCAGAGACTTCACTCGCCAATGGTTAATGACACCTGCTGAAATGGCCCAACCGCGCAGTCGGTGGCACTCGTCCATCAAAGCCGTCACATTCAATGCGTAGCTACCCAGTTCCCGAACCAAATAACTAAACACTCCATCACCTCCAAGCTTTGGCTGTATGTCCCACACTCCCACTTCCACTGTGCATAAGACACACAGTTTATGGCCGATAAATTGATTGGTTGATTGATTTTACCCCTCCAGCGTGACTGACATAAGCACACCAAACTTTCATTACCATAGGTCTGGTCAACATATCGCCCGATCTGCTGTGTTGGACTGAGGATCCCTTCGCCTGATGAGCCCCGATACGGGACGACAAAGAAGCCATGTCAGCGACTCACCTATAGTTGCAGCGCCAGACAACAGGGAAAGCTAACCAGGACCGATGAGTGATGGAGGATGCGACCCAGGGCAGTAGCAGCCACATAGTCCAATGCCGGCGAAATGGACAACGGCTTATGCACATTTTGCTACGGGGTATCAGTTTATCTGGTCCTACCGATAACCCGATATCTGTATTCTGACATGTACGCTGGGATTAAGTGTGAATCTCACACAGATCATCTTACTACTTGCCATACGGATCACTCATGGTGGTACACAAATGAGGGGAATACTGGAGTTACCATACTCAATTCGCAGGCGATAGGCTGGAATAATCAGTATTGCAACGTGCAGTAACGGCGAAGGCTGAATGGGATGGATGCACTCAGGAAGACTAGTCAGTGCAGCAGAGACTGGTGGGTGATCCAACGAGCCTAGGCCGACTGCTATGGGGTATCAGTTTGTGCATATCTGGCATCTAGTTCCATTCACAACCCGATGTGCTTACCCGCACCGAATTAAGCACTACAACATTTTTCCTACCCAGTTTTTGAACCGAGTTTCTTAATGTTACTGTTACTATACGTCAATAAATCAACAACGTTCAATGCGATTTGGCTTTCCAGACAAGTCCGCAAACTTAAAGGTTTACAACTAAAAGAAACAGTTGTTTGGAATCCAAAATTCGAAAAAATGGACGACTTCGGTGCACTAATATTCAAGACTCACACTGACAAATGCAAAGTATTAGAAGCCTAGTGCCTCTACCCTGGTGTGCGTTAACCAAATTAGTTTGGCCGAACGATGAGCCTGTGCTGGGACATAAATGTTCAGAATGGAATCCAAAATTCGAAAAAATGGACGACAAAGGATGACAAAGCCGAACCACACGCGCCAACAGACAAAAATCTTCAGCGTACTACGTGATATATTATTATGCGGTAGCGCGAAATGCTCAACACCCAGGTGCCTGGAGCTTTGAAGTGTAAGTATACATGAATGATTGTAACAGTAAATAAAATGGAAGATATCCTGGGTGAAATGCCATTCAATGTAATTTTATCAGTCCCACTCACTGGAAACTACAGTCCAACTATTCACATTTAACCATACCAGCATATTTTTGAAGAAGCCTTTACCTTCCTTCGCTGTCAACCAAACAGACAAAGCAAGCGCATCACCAACCATAGCCTCGGTTTGAACCTTATTCATAAGCCTATCCTGCGAGTGGTTCTTAAACAAGTTGGAGAGAAACAAAAGAGAATTGGATATCGCTAACGCTGTGATGGCCGATCGGGAAACGGTCGGTCAGCTTTATCATGGGTTCATTTCAACAGCGGTAAACCTTGTTTATTTGTATGGCCGTTCGAGTCGCTGTAGCATGTGGCAGCGAACAGCACCAAATGAAGGAATTAGAGAAAACAAGAACGAAGGAACTGAGGGTAGTGATTAAGAATAAAAAGGATAGATACTGCCACTGCTCCCATGACATTGCCATGTCAGTGAGTATCCCCCAACCATTGATGTTGTGGGTATATGATACTCCAACCTTACGGATGACATGCATCAGTGCTTTGCTTTTTCCATGATCCATCCCCAGGTCATACCACCTTGTGGTATCTGGTAGTCAGAGCCCGTCTTAGCAAGTAGAGCAAGGCGAGAGAATCTATCACCTGGCGGCGCATGACCGAGCCAGTGTGGTTGGTGCAGCCGAATCAATCTATCGAGTGGACAACCGCCAAATCCACTCATCAAACTTAAGCATTCCTAATACGATGTTCCCATGATATGTGTGCAGTGAGTCGAAGGCGCAGACTGGCAGACGCGTAATCTTTCACCTTCAATGCATATAAGCCAGGCCTCACACTGAATGCACTAGCGTGGTACACCCATTCCCCCCAACAGGCTAATGTCACGTTGACCCTGGAGGTGTTTAAATTAAACCGAGGCGAAACGGGTTTTGGCGATTCTAGCATTAGCTTCACAAGCATTGTTGACATCTAACGTGGTGCAACTATCCAGATAATTAAATCTATCCACTGTCTCTAATGGTGTCGAAGTTACGACCAGTATTGGTAGTCTAGTCAATCTTGCAATGATACTCGAACTTCGAGGGTACAGAGCACATAGCAAATCGACACAGTACAGATTTGCAAAAATGGAGCGGGTATGAACAAGAAAAAGCCTTTTAAACCTCTTTGGCAAAAAGCACGGACTCTGCTAAGCTGAAAAGACTCTGTGGTATTGGTAGCACATGCTTAGCTCTTATTGTTCCGAATGAGGCACTAGAAAGGGACCGACGAGGTCATATTTCCATGGTAGAGTTTTCCTATTCTTGGTGTTATTGCACACAGAAAGTGTTTTTTAACACCATCAGGCTCTCCGTTCCTCGAAGTTCAACCACATGGTGGCCTCGGTTAACTGTGAGGTGATCGGAGAGCGCTGATCCTAGGGCCAAGCTTTTTTAACTCCTCCTTCCTTGGAGGAAAGTAGCATCACCGACTCTATAAGCATGAAAATGTAGGTCACCTGAATAGGACATCTTCATACCTGTCACTGAGTACTTTAAAATTCGAGCCCCAGACCACATTGTATTACACTTAGTCATAGTACGTGGAATTTCTGCAATTTTGGCCTACCTGGTGTGGTTACATCGTTAGGAAGGAAATTCTAGCCAGCTTAATCCGCAGGATAACCACAACATCGGGTATTGATGCATGATGAACAAAAATACACCTAGTCGAACCATCTGGTGTTTTTCTCTCGTCCGCGAATGGAGTTCTAATTCAACGACTAGGATGTCTTTACAGAAATTATTCCCGAATCGGTCGCATTTTCGGACCACTGCAACCCAAAAAGCGGAAACAAACGCGTGAAAATCTCGTGTGAAGACGAATGGGCGGCAGCGACAGGGAGGAAATGTGAGAAACAAGAGGGTGCAAGATGGAAACCGAAAGTGGTGATGTTGTGGGACTGGGTGGGTGGTGCTGGGTGTGAAGTTGCTGGAGACACAATTTTGCAAAGGCACACGTGCAAAAGTTAGTTGAAGTAGAGTTCGGACAAACGGGCACGCGCAGCCGTTAGGGATGCCGACTTTTATCCAGCAAAGAACACATGAAGGATGGTTGTCATAGAGCACCTGTTTTTGTATCGCGATAGCTTTGCACATGATTTCTTCACTGTTGGTGACCATATCTATCGTTGCATCGTCGCGGTGTAAATATATTCTTATGGCAGATGGACCAAACCTAGGTGCGGATGCGACAGTAACGGAAATCACATTTTTATGGTAGTCGGGTGAAGCACCTGGAGACTAACACAGATAGCTGTAAAGCATGAAGAGGCAAGAACATATTCCGGTATCCCACGGTGATGGTGCAACAGAGAGGATTAGCAGGACGAGGTGGAAGGGATAAAACGGAAAAGTCATCGAGGCGTTACGCACCCCCCCTTTCCGTTGAACAAACCAACGGGTTGTGTTGATAACACAAGCTCCGGGAGAAGGCTGTGACCAAAAAGCATGAATAGTAGATCGAGAAATTCGTCGTATTTGAGCAGATTTGTTTCTCCATCCTCCCGTTAAAAGAGAACCAGATCAAATGCCTCTTGACTGCAATCCGATGAGTGGAACAGACAGGAGAATGATGTGGAGTGGTGACTGAAGACACGGGACGCCTATGAAAGTCACTAGCACGAGCACCAGACTAGATTCGGAAAAATAACCAGTGGGAAAACTGCCGTCTGAAACACATCGGGTGGATTTACAGGTTGTCAACCATGCGAATGTTGACCTGATCACTAAGCTTGATCACTGGGTTGAAAGCATTTCTTCATTGACGGTGAACATTCCCTCCTTACTTGCTGCCTTAACGAGTAAATTCAACTGCACTAGTCATTACTGTCTCTCTGGATAGGGACTCTGAGACGGGACACACCAATGGTTGGTGACAATGTCAGATATGGTCCAATCGCGCACTCAGTGGAGCGCACGCATTCAAACTGTTGCCTTCAATACGAAGCTGCCCCTCCCAATCTTCCTAGCGAAAAATCCACCGACACCCCTGTACCCACGCATCAACCGTATAATCTACCGTCTTCTCTGTGTAGCTATCTATCCCTACCACAGTTTTCAAAGCACATTATGGCAATGCTGATGCTTGCGTTTTTTTATATCAAAAGATACTAAATAATTTCAAGAACTATATACACGTTAGCATGTGGACCGTGTTCCGGCGATGCCCTCTTGATTGCTGGCAAAACGTTTGCAAGCTAAGTGCCAAGGCCAGGGTCACCTGACCACCAACCAGTAAATTGTCCCAAAGTAAACGGTGAGATCAACCTTGGTATAGCGTTTTGAAAAGAATCCCCTAATTACAACAGTGTCGTCCACGAAGCCGACCAGTGTTGAACATCGGTGTTTTACTGCTGCATGGCAGCACAACTCTACCCCCAATAAAACGAAGAATACGAGTTGAAAGACACTACTGCGCGCCAGTTGAAAACAATGTAGACACCAAGAACATCGTACGCCTTCAGTATGCACTCAGACAACCTTAACAGACACTAGTACGAAAAAGTCACTGAAATCAGTTGGCAAACCTACCTTGCAACGCCTGCAACTAGACACACATTGTCACGCGAGTCGTTCGCGCTAACGGCACTTATTTTCACTTTTATATCCGTTACATCTATTTGGAAATTGGCAGACCATTCCTCGGTACTGAGACGGTTTTATGAACTAAGCACGTGCTAATTCGTGAAACGAAAGGAAGTGGACGAATGCACCGAACAGCACAGAATAACTTAGACAAAATCAGCTATGCAACCAAACCACGCGTTTCACAAATAGTAGCGAACGAGGATATTTAAAATCAATGAGGAACACGAGCACAAGATACGAATTCATCCAGTGAATACAAACGAGTGCTGACACGTCTTCGATAAAAGCTCGAGTAGTCAAAAGTCACAACCATATTGTGAATAGAACTCACTCGAACGAACTGAGACTGTTTGGCTTGTGTACATAGTTGGTCGGTACGTAACCCAACTGGCCATCTGCATTCCGTACGTACCACCACTGTGCGTTGCTCTGATTGACAACGTAGTATTTTTCGCCCTTTTTTAACGGCAGCTGGTTTTCCCGTACTGGATTGTAGTTGTGCACTGCAATCACGGTGTTCTCATTGTCATCCTGTATGGTATCGAGGAATAAAAATGAAAACAATAGACCGAATCCATGGCCAAGATGGTTACACCACCGGGGACAAAAATAAATCAATCCGTGGGCAAAAATAGGAAAGAAGCTATCGATCATGGACCTCGAATCCACGAACAGGTACGGAGTTCTACATGAACTTTTCAAAGCGATTTGCACTGACTGAGCCGGACAGTCTTTTGAGGTGGATAAACCTCTCCAGAAAAGACATCGCGTCTCTTGCACTGACTGAGCCGGACAGTCTTTTGAGACGGATAAACCTCTCCAGAAAAGACATCGTGTCTCTGGGTGGTGGATATTTTTCTATGACTGTAGTCGCATGCTCTGCCTGGTAAAACTGTAAATGGATGCAATTAACTCGCTAGAAAGCTGAAGATGCAAGAATGTTTGATACAAGAAACTAAAGGCACTCTGACAGGCAAGGATCGAGGACGATTGAACTGGTCCAAAATGTACCAAGCATGAGTATGTTTCAGTGACCAAATTTCACCTGAGTTGAAACACGCCATGTGTGTCCGAAACATGCGCTATACATTGTAATTTATTTAACAGCTTTGGTTTACAGGTACCGTTTGGCTTAACCTTTGAGATACAGCGGAAAGAGGCAGACGTCAACCTTTCATTTAGGGTAGCCTATTACATCGGGTCGCTAACTTGGAAAAATGGAACTGAAATTATGCTGAAAAGCATAACTGGAACTGATGTTTGCCTCAAGCGATACAACTGCGTACCAACAAAAAACAGCGGGACGAGTGAGGAAACATTAAATTTAGTGAAGAAGTTGCACACATCGAATTATGTTGGTAGCATTGGACAAAACAGATATTCGCTGCCTCTGTGGCATTCATCAGTGGGTGGAGGGTAAGCAGTTTGAAGTGCCGGAAACAGTAGAAACACCTGACGTCGACAGGTGTGACTGCTCTGGCATCCCACCGTGTGAATCTCAAATAGGGGAACAGATAGCGTTTGGAGGTGTAGGCGCCCCAGAATCCTTGAGATAGGCTAGCATAAGATCTCTCAGACGCCCGTTTCTCTTCTTTTCATTTTAAGGCCTTATTCGCTAGATACACATTCTGTGAAGCATCATCTTCAACAGTGATGATGCTGTCTTTGAACAGGATTATGATAACATCAACCGTTTAGAGTTTCTAAAAACGAAGAACTTCCCGTGTACCTTTAGAAACCTATCAACTAGCAGAAAGCCTTGGACCATAAGCGAGCATATCAAAGAGATTGACGAACCCAATAAACTCTAGTGTGAATATGTACCACTGAGGAAGAGAATATTCGGAACACAGAAACACTACGCAAGTGTCGAAAGGAGAATCGAATCATTGAAAGAATAACCACCCGCAACGGTCATCTTTACAATTAGATTATGTGTACTTGAGCTTTATAGGCCTTATTTACCTTTCGAATACTTTTATATTCTTAGCGCAAGGGTAGTGTCAGTTAGTTTTTGAACAGAGGTAGTTGCAACCAAGGCAAGAGGTGAAACGGTTTTGTGTTGCAATGCGATGTGGCAGCTACGGTTTTAGATGAACCGTTTGCAAACTCCGCTTAGATTGTCGATACGTGGCTTGTCCCTGACCGCAGTTGCTAATCCCTACATTAAGATGCACATCAACTGGTTGGAAATCCAGTTAGGAGTTATCACCTAAATGGCCCATATTGCGGCCCCTCGTAACTCCGCAGGTTGTGCTTTGAACCAATACTGCAAACATTTTTTTCTGGAAGGCAATGAACTCGAAAATGTAGACATTGATAGACGCCTTTACTATAAGACGAACCAGTGGAGTGATGCACAACCATGCTTGACAGGAATCTTGTTTCCCCCAGAGGAAGAGGAAACCACCTTCACAAACCACCTTCACCTGCGAACCACTGAGGTTCGGATTCAAGATGTTCGTCAGAGCTGGTGGGACTACAGGATGAACGATACGTCTGGCTGGGTGCATAAATTACCCCACATTAACCTTGTTTCGCTAAACTGGGTAATTGGTGTGGCAGCGTTTTCTTTAAGGGTAGTTTAATGTGAAGAATATGGCAAAACCCGGGGTAATGGTAGGAGAATTCAACGACTTAGATTCTCACAGCAGTAAGAGGACAAAAATGCACACACTTAACGATGAAAGGGCCTGGATATAGCAGTACTCCCAAAAACAATAAAACAGATCACATATCCAGTGACAGAAGATATGTACCTAAGGAATGAGGAACACAGTAGGGGTGCGTAAACAGCAGCAAGTACAGAGAATAGGCGAAACGCTTATCCAGAAAAGTATGTTATCAGCAGAATGAAGCGACAAGTTTTGGTGGCCTATGTCAAGCATTCTGAGGTGGCTACACCTCCGACCACTCAATCAGACAAACTGGAAACTGACAGCACGAGCTCCACTGACATCGATTAGCCGCCATTTCTTACAACGTCTCCAACCAGTCACAGGCGAGGTCACGGGGACCCCATTCTGGAAGGCGTACAACACCAACAACACCCAGACTCTTCGTGATCTCTTTTATGCCTTTCTGCCAAGTCATGCGCTATCCACCTCGCGGCAACGAATTGAGGAAAACTGAAACACATGTCTAGGAAATGGAATGTATGAAAATGAGCGGAAAATGAGCGAAACTAAGTTGAAAGGGAAAGCTATCAAGATGGTAAACGGAAAGCTATCGCATAGACCAGATGTGCACGAATGAACAAATGGGATCATTCGGTGTAGTGGTAGACAGCCATAGCATGCAATGTAACTGAAACTATTTTTGCTTCAGGCAGCTACCCCATGGTCTGTACTCCTGGATTCTTTCGCCAGCACGAGTTCAGAATGAAAAAGGTACCTTTTTGGAAGATTGTGATTAGGCACACGTAGTACATGTCCCCGTCACGAGTACTCGATTTTCCAGAGAAATAATCAGAGCTTGGTAACACACCGTTCTTGTCTTGTTTTGCAGACACCAAGAAAATTGCGGAGTAGGAGTAGGTAGGTTCAAAATCAGTGTGATTCGTGGAGTTCGCACGTCGACTGTAGCCATTAGAGGCTGAACTAGCTTTGGAGCATCGAAATTTTCTCACCGCGTGCTACACTACCAAGCTGATAAGACCGTGTAGATCAACAGACAAGATCATGTGCACCTTCCGTAAGCCATTATTAGAATAAACCCACTCCTACCCCCACCTCCGACGTCGGTGGTTTGCGTACATGTTGTGAATAGTACTGTAGCAGATTGTATCAGCAGGTGAAATCGAGGCCACAATTCGCAATACCTCAGGCCTCATATTGAAATTTCGGTTTAGCACTACGTGGTGTAAAAATGTGAGACAACCGATTCCAGCGAGAAAATGATATGAATAGTTATGTACCCCGTGTGAGAACGCCGTTCAATTGATCGTCTCTGTTTTGAAGGTGCTGAATTGTTCGGACATGGCTTTCTCCCTATCATCAGACGACTTTCCGAGATAACCCACAAACAATTACAGATCTCCAAATTTATTACTGCGAAGTACTTATGAATGGCTCAAACGTGGAGCGAGCATTCAACTGGAGTTTGATAGTTGAATAAATTTATTTTTATCCTCTGCTTTCTTTATGTATCCACCAACTTTATCCAGAAGTTTGCCGTTCCTTGCATGTCGCCCTATTAGTTAAATCATTTTATTGTTTTCTTTCAAGGACGTGAACTGCTATCTTGGTTTGTTAGTCCGTTGCCTTGAACTGATTTTTCTATGAAGCGAATTTTTAGTCTTCCCACTTTCCTATATCTTCAATAAGTTGCAATAATTGTGCCCTTGAGGAGCACCACTTGTATTAGGGTCTTCTCGCAAGATTGAGGCTTAGGACCATTTCTGAAAGGACAATCAACACCATCCCAAACAACTGGTGTGAATCACTATTAGTGTCGATTTTCAAAAAAAGGTGCTCGCAGTGAATGTTGTAACCACAGGTGTTAGTTTGACTCCTGTTGTGACAAGGCTTTTGACGTCACTGATTCATCGTCGTCTTACGGCTGCACGCGAAACCTTGACTCGTGGAAACCAACCGAGATTTCGATTTGGTAGAGCCTGTATTGATCACATCTTCACATTTCGTCAGGGGTTAGAGAAACGCCACATATGCAGACGACCCACAATCGTGGCATTCGTTGACTTCAAGGGTATGTTTGATTCTGTTGATTAATCAGTGCTGTTAACTACACTTTCTTAACAGGGTATGCCCCAGAAGTTTGTGAACATAATTCGACCCTTATATTCATATACTTCTGAGCGGGTGAGAGAGTATGGTGAGCTCTCCGAAAGCTTCTCTACAAAAAGTGGTGTCATACAAGGATGTCCACTCTTTCTATTCCTGATCAACCTCGAAATTTGAAATAATGGGGCGAATGCTGGGAGGTTTTCAAACCCCGGTGTTCATATTGTTGCGAGTGAGAGCCTTGTCGATCTAGAGTACGCAGACCACATTCCACCATCTTTGAGGACCAAAGCGAAACACGAAGCTTGTTGAATAGACTGATCAACGTCATACTATTCTTCGACATGCACCTAGCAACTGCAAAGTGCACAGTCATGCTCCCGAACGTAGTCTGTGAACATATCCCTACAATTCAAGGAGAATCACTGGGTGTTGTGGAGAATTTTACATGCCCCGGTAGTTATGACACCTCTGACAGAAATGTGTCAGGGTAAAAACGCGAACATCGCCTGGGCCACTGAAATACTATGTGGTTTTAATCATATTAACTTTTACCACTTTCGCAAACTAAATTATAAGTTCACTTCCCTAGGGGTCGTTATGTCTCATCCATCTATCGTTAGACGACGTCCAATGACCAGAAATTAGTTTTGGACGATCTTGCCACAATTTCCGATTGGACAGAGGTACTGTTGTCACCAGAAAGTGTGCAGGGAAGTCGGTAGACAGACTGAATGAAATTAACTGCTCGGATCATTAGTGACTCAGTCTGGTGATGGTCAATTCGTTTGTATGCCTCGCTTCTCAAAGCTACTGAGTCGAAAAATAAGAAAACTCACCATATCAAACAGGGGCTGGTGTGTGCAGCGCACCAACTGAGTTCGGTTCGGATTATGGCTCGAACGTCGGAGAGCATTGGTAGGGTTTGCAAACGGACTCATATTGACACCACCAAGTAAGGCAATTTGTTGTTGCTGTTGGATCTGGAACAGAGCAGCCGGACTCGTGGTAGTAGAGCCGACGGCTTGTGTGGACAGTATAACACCGGAATGTGGAGTGGACAGGGTCACTGGGGATGTGGTCGTCCCATGTACCGCTGACAACGAAATTGGAGTAGGGTGCATGCTAAGCATTGCAGCGCCTGCGGACTGGATGCCCGTGGACGTGATATCAGCACAGGGGAGGGAACTTGACGTTGTACTCTGTTGGACATTCATGGACGGGTAAGCTGATGGAGATGAACTGTTGGGGGGTGTCGTCCCAGCGGTCATGAGTTGTTGTTGCTGCTGTGACGGCAGTGTGGGTTGTTGTGCAGAGGGAAGTTGGCCAAGGTGAGGCTGGTCAGCACCGGAAACAACGCGCCAAAGCCGCTCCACAACGACAGGAGGACCCGGCTCGTTGGTTGGTTGGCATCCCATTGAGAGTCGGTCAATAGCATCACAACAAGTGTATCTTCCTGGTCGTTTCCATACACCAGGATGATGCAACGGGACAAACCGAGCTCCACGTTCACCAGTATCTGTGTGAAGGAATGTTATTGTTATTCGGACATTCTACCGAGTGGTTCCTCTTTTATTACGTCCACACACAAATTAGACTAACTGTCTGAGACCTCAGTATACACGAACCACAGAGATTCAAGTTTACACTGTATCTGCCACCTGGCTTCCATCCTAGTGAACCGATCGCCAGAACGCAGCTCCGGCTACTGAAAACATGATAAGCTATTCACCGAAAGATCCACGACACGAATCCATCGACATCTTCTTAACTATGTTACCAAAACCTGGGCAATCTACCATAGTATCACAACCCCTATACTTGGAATCGAATAACACAAGCTTCAACGTATATTTGGAGGTGGTAAGTCACTCGATAAAATCGACACCGCGAACCATCATAAAACTGTTGAGAACAATTAGTACACGACAAGACAAGTAGTAGGCAATGTAAGCGTTTAGGAGGCCTTCATTTTGATTGATAATAAGGAATGATATAGTAGTATCACCACAAAAACTCACGATCTCCTAACGGCACCCGCAATACGTATTGCGGACCTCTCATGTTACTCACTCCAGCACAGTGTCCACTTAAAATAGCTGGAGATCCTCACATATAGAGCACACGCTAGACTTCGGAACGATGAGCAAATAGACGTAAAGAGAAGTGTTCATACTTGAGAGAAAAGACCATGCGGGAGACAGTTCGAAGAGTCCAGAGATGTGGAAAAGAAGCCAGGTTGGGGATGAACCAGTTGCAGTCGCAGACAGTAGGTTTTAAAGGACAGGGGCGAGAAAGATGGGACTAGGGCTTAAAACACCGCCCTGTGTATGAATGAACAGAACTAACAGGGACTTAAAAGAAACATAACGTCTCAATCTGATACTTCATGCTCTTCCTCGTGAGGCCTGTAGAATAGTAATTTACATAAAGGAAGTCCAACATCTCACCCTACCATAGCGATTAGCATTCGATTAATAAAGCGGCCTTTGCATGCAAGGCCTCATAGGAGACATCACACTCTCAACTTACCAGCCTCTTTGTTTTTTGTGTAACTAACTGAATTTTTGTATCACCGGCTGGAGTTAAAGCGAGTGGAATTCTACCTGCTGGTGCTCTGGCCAAAATATCACACACAAAGAAGGACGAGGTGCATTTGAGCCTCCATCAAAATTGACACTGTCTAGATCAACCCCATCCACATGCAGAGTCCGCTCAAACATGTATTCTTCGCCGCCGTCAAAAACCTTTATTATGAGCGGAATGAGCAAGATCACATAGACAGGGAAGCACGCACCAACATGGAAACAACCATCATTTTGTAGTGTGAACGTGAGCCTGAATAATCAGAGTAACACATGAAATGCTGATTGGTTCAACGTTGGTATCAATCTGCACTAGTTTCCTTGAGAACTACTTGGTAAAGCTACTTAGGAAATCTACCCGGTGTGACCAAAACTTTGCAATTAAAAATCCCAAATGACACACCTATTAGTAACCATCTTCGGTCTACTGAAATCGGCTAGTTTCATTGCGCAACTAATTCCCAGGTTTTGTAAGGCGATACTTTTTCTCTCTCAAGCGACCACAGTGGTGGAAACCAAGTCATCCTGACATGACGGGAACACTCGTTGACCAGCGCATTTCGGGGGTATAGCTCGGTCGATAACGCAGGAAATTCGGCCAGGAAACCTTCCTAAGCATCAGTCACAGGGCATTTTAAGCCCACAGTACATCCTGAATACGTTTTCGTCCAAACAGAAGCTGCGGCTTCGCACGATTATGAAAAGTGATTTCACATGTCTTGTATTCTAAGAGCAATTACCAGGGTTGTTGCAGACTTATCTTAAATCTGAAGATGCCAAATAGAAAAAGGACGAGGATACCTGAAGAATGAACGTTTTCATATGCTGTTCAAGCTCAACTACAGAAACGGAGATTACAGCATTAGGGTTCATGAGTCTATCCGAAGAGTCAAGAATTTGGGCAGCACATGCTAACAGGGAAAGACAAGAAAACTAAATCGGATCACTTACAAAATCGGACTAAACTGATCCAATCATCACGTTCAATAGCCGAGTTGGCGACGATATAAAGCAGGTACCATGAAGTAGAAACGGGATCTTCTGCATAAGCGATCTAGAAAAGCGATTGATGAGCAGTTGAATACAAAAAATTAAATGCTGAATTACCTGAAAAACATTCTTCTTGTTGTCCAAATCATCATCTTGCACCTTTTCGATAAACTTTATATTACTCAGTGCCAACTGTCCTTTCTCCTTTCCACGGTTCTGAAAAGGCAAGGGGCATGCCCACTAGGAGCTGGTAACTTACGCCTCCACTGACTTCGAAATACCGAATGCAGAATGGCTGTAGAACGAATTCTCGTAGTCTATAATTATCACGACCGAATAGTTTCTTGTTCTGAGAACGCTTGTTCATGCGCGACACTTTCAGTTCTTGCTCAGTAGAGAGCATGGTTACACGCAATCCTGTAAAATCAAAGGTTTCATCATCAGGAATCGCCCAGAAAGGAAGCAGGCAGCACAACATTGCTCATGCACGCAGTCTTAAAACAGGTTTCCAGGGAAAGGCACCAAGAATGAGGATAAGGATTAAAGTGGTAGGCCGCAACAAAAGGAGTACCAAATCCGGATACTACAGAAGCCTGCCCCTGAAAAAAGCTCGTCTTTTGTCGGCGACTGACGCTCAATTTTTACGAATGACTAACCTTGTGGCAGGCAAACCTTCTACCTGTAGGGAGCCTGCAAACACAAATGTAAAACGTATCCACCAAATTTATCCTCCCCCTAGCAGAAAACCCTTCCACAAAGAAACCGGTTCGTTTCAATACAAGGAGCCTTTCCGCTGGGTTGGTGGCAGGTGTTTCCCGTAAACTTGGCCCCACTAATCCCCATCATGAATCAGGTCCTTGCTAACTGTACGGAAATATCCTCAGGAAGAGGTGACTGCTGATTCAATACTACAAACTGTTCGCTTGACACTACAGTTCAAAACTGCTTGAATCGATCACACCCTAAATATGAATCCGACGAAAAAAGCGATGTCCACCAAATTTCGCTAATTATTTTGGGACAAAGAAAGTCTGCTAGGCGATGGAAGCTTGTTAGGAATTAGTTTCGACAGTGAGAACACTCCTGGAAGGTTCGCGGTTGTCCAGCGAAGTCAAACCATTACCTGCCTGCTGGACTGTTATGGAATATTTAGAGTGTTCCTAAATTGAAATCAATAGACTAAGCTTCTACAACTAAAATCAAATTTGTCGTATCGTGTTGTGACAAAAAAGACCGTGATTTTTTTACAAACACCTTCCGACAGCATGGAATAGCTCAACAAGACGAACCTGATGGACGTTTGCGTAGCACCATTATTTTTTTAATCTGGTCCGGTGACCGACTCGGTATGAACAGTATAGATGAAACCAGTCATGTAATCTTGACTGTCCCATGTGTGGTTTCCTACCGTAGCAGTGCGGATGAACGATCCCCATGGCGCGGTTTGGTGCTCACAACAGGGTCAGTACACAACAACTGCTGCACAATATCACTGTGGTGCAATGTAGCCAAACAGAATAAGCCTCTTAAATTAAGTTTGTAAATCCCATTGTGCATATAACCTCTCAATTATTTCAATCTTGGAGCGGACTAACACGTCACGCAAGTCCCGATCGGTTTCACGTAAACCGACCTCTCCATCTCGGAATCCCAATCGATTCTGCTGTTACCACAAGAAATTCAAAGACAAGGCTCTACGTTGCACACTTCCATGCGCCTACGCCTCCCCTGACCAGGGAAACTCACTGGCCAGTCATTAGTGGCGACAGCTGCCACTGGCCAGTCACCCAGTCGCCTCTATCACGTTATGGATAGGATCACCGGAACACGATTCCTCGTCGACACCGGTGCAGAACTCAGCGGTATTCCTGCCGGAAACTCGAAACGCTACACCTCTAACCAGCTAACGACATTACAGACGGCTAACGGCACTCGCATAGCTACCTTCGGTCATAAGTCACTTGACCTGAGTCTTGACCGCTCACCCCCTTGGATCTTCACTGTCGCTGACGTGCACGTCCCAATCATCGGCGCGGAGTTCCTGACGAACTTCTCACTGGCCGTCGATATTAAGCGGTAAAAGCTTCTGGATTCTTTAACGTCGCTTTCCGTCCCATCAGTCCAGGTCGACGCTTCGTCATACCCACTCGGTATTCACGTCGCCAGCATTCCAAACATCCCGGTTTTCGACGATTTAGTCAAAAAGTTTCCTAGTTGCCTTAAGCCGTCCTATTCGGTCTCGAGTGCGCCACACCAAGTCGAGCACCACATAACGACCACTGGCCCTCCAGTTCACTCTCGCCTTCGACGACTACACCCTTTGACCACATGCTGCAACTCGGAATCATTCGGCCTTCAAATTCATGTTGGGCTTCTCCTCTACAGGGTGATCGGTTACTTCATGTCCACAACAATACCTAGATAACCAGATAAAGGGTGACGCCAAAATACTGAAAAGACTGGGTCAGGAGGAGAAGGTCGGCGTTTCGAGACTAGGTATCTTCAGCTTCATAAAACCACCAAGCTACTCGATTCACGCAGATGCTTTCTTCACCTGAAATCTGACGGTTCGTCCGGTGGTATTATACTCTAAGCGAGGAGAAACACCTGTCCAATCTTCGGGTAATTCATGTGCTTACTGAGTTCCAGTACCCAGGTCTAGTTTTTGAGCCCTTTTACAAGTGAAGCGCCAACCATTCTACAGGATTGCGGAGAGTACCTTACATTAAGAGTCAACAGCAGAAAACGCACTGTTCAAAAGGAGCGAATGTAGGCGGTTCTGGTGGACTTTTTTCACATAAAAGTCCAAGAGCTTTTCAATGGTCAGGCGAATGATGAGCACCTGAGAAACGCAACGAGAACCAGCCACGTACAAACGTGCGATCCGAATCCACATAGGTGTTCCAAAATGACCGAGTCTGTGATTACCCCACACGAGCTATAGCTAACGAGGATGTGGTTTACTTGTATTGGAAATTGGTTCGCGTGTAGAGTACCATATGGCCAAGCGGTTTCCGTAGTTTCTGAAGTTAGTACTGTATAGAAAGTCTGTAGTCAGCAAATAACTGCAACAGGCGCTGGCCACTGTTCGCGCGTCTTGATTTCTCTTCTAGAAGACCACCCAATTGAGCAGCGCTAAGTCTACCTACCCCCGCATTCATACCTACAGCAACAAGGCATTCAAAGGTCGTAAAAGTCACCCTGGAGTCTGTTGGGGCGTAAACAAATACACTGAACAGCCCGCGATTATCGGAGCGTTTGCAGTTTACGCCCACAGACCTTCCGAACCGCACAGAGGTAAATATCAACGGGAAACCATCCAACCCGAGATCATTCAGCTCGGTGGACTAGAACAATACCATCAACCATCAAGTTATCAGCTGTAAACCGTTACCATAGGCACACTGCATCCAGCTGCTAGTCTCTATCACCGGAAAGTGGTCGAGTGTGGGAAATGCAGCCAAGCCTTGGAGACGATGGTATTTTTAGTTAGCTAGTTCTTGAACTTGGTATCTACGCATTGAAGACGATATCCTTGATTCACGAGCGCAACTGACTGCGCGAATGAGCCATTTCTGCCAATGTCATTGAAGATTGGTGAGTTGAGACCCGGGGTTCCCATCCATGGAGTCGGCAGTTGTCGACCCTATACAAACCCAACAACTCCAACCCCAACAGAAAGAACAGCAGAGGCTCCTGGATCACTAGAGCTGCTTAACCAAAAAGCGAGGGCAATCTGATGGGGAGGTCAGTTCAACAACCGCACTTGGGTGTTCAGTCCTCGTTTCAGATAGACAGTCAGCATCAATGGAAAGTGTGTACATCGTCTACATAGCAGCAGCCTGTTGTCCAGCTTCTTTCTGACTGCGAACTGACTGGCAGCCTCTAACTGAGCATCAGGATTCGGATGATGAGACCCGGTGTACGTGACTACGATGGCTAGCGACGATGGGCGGGGAAGGGGTGCTTCATTGCTTAAGAACGTGTCTACGGAGATGGTGCTAGAAACAGAGTGTGAAGAGGGAGAAGAACGAATATGTGGGAGAGGAAGGAGTAAGGCATCAGCAGTAGCCCGTTTTTGTCTACTCGCTCTACTGCATGCAGCATAAATGGGCGATCAGTCTCAAGCCACCACACGACGGCCGATGTGGCATGAGGCTAAGTGGGCTGGGGTGATGACACCTTGATAGGAATAACGCCCTTTCCGTGCATAACTGCCATAACACCTGAAGTAAGCACGAGGGATGGGATGCTGTCAGGCTGCCCAATCCTACATAGAAGCCGAGATGCAGAGGGCTGGTTCGAACCAGTAACCGAGTCGTCTTATAGTCTTGGTGCTCAGAGCTGAAGCACCTGAGGATTGTGCAGCGGTCATCTAAGGTCATCGCAGTAGTCTGCAATTCCATGCTGGACGCTCTTAAGTTAGCCCTTCGACTTCCTGATTTACATTCAAACCTCGTGCCATCCGTTTACTTCTTTTCAAGGCACACCTCTGCGAGCTTCTCGGTCCTATTTAAGCGGGCACTCAAACGTTCTGCTCTTCTTGGTTTCCTTCAACAAAACCGACCGGCATCAATCGCCGCCCGCTGTTTAGGTGAGCACGATGTCACTTCTCTTCAAGACATCCCAAGTTTGGCTGTTTCTCGGCTTAAGTGCCATATAAATCATACCTTAGTCTAAAGCTTTCTGTCAAGGTTGGTTTAAACATAGGTTTAACCATGTTCCTCCAAAATGGATAAAATTTTGGAAAGTCATCTCGTGAGAAACTGCCGTTAAACTTCGGGTTTTCCAAAGGTCTGGGACAATTTTTCCCTAATCCACTGACCTTCAAGAACACGCACATCCGAGTTGACGATGTTTGTTATAAACCAGTGCTGACGACTAGTGGGGCCCCGAAGGGTATACTTCAAAATGCAGCTGGTTGTGATCAAGCTGTTACAAACCTTAGACTTATGGCAACGAACAAAACAAACCCAAGCCGGGAATTAAGGGCGAAAGCCTCGATCCTCTCTATCAAATTGTGAATCCCTAAACCTTCTCTAGATGCTCACAGACGAACGACGAGTACGTGACGATAATTTGGAAGCGGTAGACTATCCCTTCACCTTCCCGCGCCGGCGTGATTCCATACGAGCATGCCAAACTACATTCACACAACATTCCCCACTAATGCTTAAGCTTTCCAAGGGGCGAGATGGCTCAGCGGTTAGAGCGCGAACTTACTGACCACAATGTCCGTGGTTCGAACCTGACATCTGCCTCTCGATTTCTTAGGCTTGAGAAACCTGGCAGTATCCAAGCCGTCGTGTTTTCTCCTGGTGGCATGGCAATTAGACACCGAAAAGGTGCTAAAGCTGACCGATTATTATTAAGCTTTCCACAGTGCACTACCGTTAAGCAGTTCACGGATTCACATA